AGCTTTTACAACGTGCATCTCCACCCTGCCCTAATGAAATTGTCTCTGGTGCGCTGGTACTAACTGTCTTCTCCACACCTGCTCCACAGCCAGGCCAGGGAAACACCCCCAAGGTTGTTGTAGATTTCCATCAGGTACTTAAATGAGGGGGGCAGGGGTAGTCTCAGATGGAGATATATAGTTGCCCTTTGGTACTCTCGAGGGAGCCATACATCTCTACCCCTTGTAGTTCCCCTCCCGCCCCTAGAAGAGATGGAGAGAACACCCAGATTCCTTCCAGGACGAACGTGCACCCCCGGCAGCTGCTGGGTGCTCAACTCAGGAAAGCTTGCTTCTGTTTTGACAACTCGTCCCTTGTAAACCTCCTAGGGAACCCTAGAAGGAAGTGCGCAGTGCACAGGGGCGATGAACAAACAGACTGCCTGACACAGTTCCAACATGCTTGCCTGAACTTTGACCTTGCTGCCACCTCTTACACCTTCCATGTTCAAAGGCATCTTCAGCCTGATAAGCTGGCAGGGACAACCAGAAGTAGGGGCTGGTGGGGCCTGACAGCAGGTTCTCAAAACGTTGCCCCATTGAGTTTGAAGCAGCACTCTGGACTTGGTTTGAGGATGAGGGATCCGAAAATTATGACCATCAGTAAACTAAAACAATAAAGACTGTGTTAAAATATAAGTCTGGGTTTTGTTAAAATGCAAGCTGTTGGCATAACGTGGAGAAAACATATATTTCAATGTCAAGCATCAGAAACATTGTCCTGTGGTAAATTACCAGCCTCTTCAGCAGAACCGTGCTTCATTGCTGCATGAAGTATACAGAAAAACCTCATTCACACCCTCACCATTCCCTGACAATATTGATTCAACAAAGAGTCATTCAAGCCTAAAGCTCAAAGGGGCCTTCACTCAACAAACATTAGTTGAGGACCTGCTTTGTGTGGTATTTTTCTAGGGGTGGGGATACAGTAGTGAGCCATACAGATGAAAATCCCTCCCCTTTTGGAATAAGGCTTCCACTGGCAGAGAGAATGGGGGACCAAATTAACTTTGTTGTACCACAGTGACTTGTGTTGCTATGATCTGAAAGCTATGCCAGGGTTATTCCCAAGATCACCCATGGTGGGCAGGCTTCAGCAGCTTCCACACTCATACAGAAAAGAAAAGCTGCCTCGAAATCTACTTCCCAAAGTTAGCTAATAAACCCAATTAAGAAATAAAGCCAGTTTCTTTGCCATTGAGTGGAAAGCAGGTATGGGGAGGAGGGCCATGCTGGGGGGAAGGCAGAGGGTAAAGGAGGACTCAGCAGCAGAAGGAGGGAGGTCAGAGCCGAGCTGGGGAGGGAGGACAGAACAGAGCCCAGGAAAGAGGGAGGGCTGACTGGAGGGAGGGCCGAGCAGAGGGAGATGCGGGAGGGCTGCGCTGAGCAGAAGGCGAGTGGGAGGGCACAGCAGGGAGAGGGCAGAGGGGAGGAAGCAGGGCAGAGGAGGATCAGAGACGCAGTAGAGGGGAGGGCAGTACCAAAGTAGGAAAAGCACAGCTGAGGGGAATAAGGGAACAGACCTGGCAAAGGGAGGGTCCCAAACGCCAAACTCAGGCCATGGGGTCAATGCCAAGTCGTGCGGACGCTGTAAGGCAGGGAGGACCGCCCCTGGGAGTGTCCCAGACCGCACTGCTCACAGGAGCCACAGCTTCCTCGTGCTCTTGCTGAGCGGCTGGTGGTTTTCAACTTTGGACCTTGAGGATCAAAACGCAGCATGTAACCAAGGTGCCCCCAGAGCAGCTGAGAACAGTTGAACTCGCTCCCCTTCTCCTTTCATATTTCTGCATCAGCGAGGGTGGCCCTACTTTTATGTTTTAAATGTTTATGGTCTAGGTATGAGTCTACTTCAATTTTTTTTTAT